TACAGATAATTGAATTATATGCATCACCCACCAAACAAGGAAGCCCCATAGCTTGGGGAACAGTGTGCAGAGAACCATAGAGAAGTAGGCCTGGAAGCGATGTCCAGAGGTCATCTAGTCCAACCCCCTGCCTGAGGCAGGATCACTCCTATCCAAACCATTCCATACAACCATAATCTAAACTCTATGTCAACCCTGACACAACACAGACCTGAGAACTGGACCTGCCACAGGACCAGCCCTGTGTCCTAGGTCTAGCACTCAGGGCTGGTCTGTGGGTCGGATCCAGACCACAGACTGGCCCCGTGACTCATCTGGCTTTCTGGGCCAGATGATTTTGACACCTCTGGTCTAGAGGGCTCAAACCTTGAACACTAGCATGCCAAGAACCAGTTCACTCAATGGGATCTACAGAGGATCACCTCCAGGCCTCTTATTAAACTTAAACTCACGTAGGGTTTAAGTTCTTTATTTCAGCACTTGGATATAAAATAGCTTTAATCTTAACCTCTCTGGGCTGAAACCGAACTGGACTTAAAACACAAACTGATACATTTATGAACAGAAGTCTATGAAACGGCCCTTGCCATGATGCAAGAGGTCTCGTTTAGTCCTATATTCCTATGTAAGATTCATTCATGTTTCCAATGGGGTGCAGAGAGCCTTCTGCATCCCAGCTTCCCCCATCATTACACCAGAGGTAATAAAGTGAGGTAAAAGACTTCATTGGTGGAGGTGGAGATGTCTGGATTTAACACATGCCTTGCTGCAACAAAAAAAGTCCTTCTAAAATGATATAAGAATTAAAAAAAACAAGTGCATTCACACACAGAATCATCTGCTATAAATTAGTGAGAAATGTTACCCGTAGCTTTGAATTGCAAATGCCGATTTTGATCTGTTCTCATATATTTTTACCCATCCTGTTGGCCTGCTCTGCTCCTATTTCTTACTGGATATGTGCATCACACCCCACAAAACAGAAACCTGATCTCAGCTGAGTGCTGCAGTCACTGCTGTCTTACAACTGTGATCGATAATAATTCAAGTTCCTGGGAGCTGTGTCACTGGGTTCAATGAAAGACATGTCAAGGCCTAGTTTGTGTGCATGTCTGTTCCAGGAGTGATCTACAAGGAGTATAAGTCTATTACTGCCCTAAGTACAAGAGGTGTTAATTGGAAATCAGGCAGAAGAAAGGACAGGGTGATGCCTTAGGACACCTATATACAAGCTGGATGTCTGCTCCAACACGTGCTAATTAGCACACTCCTGAGCAGACTCGATTAAATAAGTCAACTACTAATTAGCATGCTCCAGCAGCCTCTGTGTCATGTGTATTCAGTGTCCTCATGCTTCAAAACGGGGGTGGAGGCTCTTAACTAAAGCTCGTCGAACAGGCTGTAGTTAAAGTTTCCCCACTGCCATTTTGAAGCTCAGGATACTGAATACATGTAACACTGTGGGCGTTTTAATTAGAGCAGCTCTCAGAGACACTTTAATTAAAGCCCCCTCTACCTTCCAGCTCCACCCTGGAGCACATGTAAAGATGCCCTTAGAGACTAACTGGTTCAGAGAGGCCGAAGCTTTCACAGACAACTACATACTTTGTTAGATGGTACGGATGGACGCTAGTCCACATCTGACAAAGTAGGTTTTGTTATGAAATCTCTCACTTCTCTCTGGACCAGCTGGTCTCTAAGGTGCTACTCCACTGTACCCAGACCCGGACACAGGCATGGGTGAACCGGACAGCCACTCGGACAGAAAGGGGACCCAAAAATGAAAAAAATTACGAAGTTTTAATATTGCACATGTATGGGACTACCAATGTTGTCAATTGAGAACAAACTGTTCTCAATTTTGTTTAAAGACATTGATACCAGGCTTGCAGCCAAAAAAGTCATTATCGCTGGCGAGTGGGGAGCCTGACACTAAAAGCTCTCCTGGGGCCACCAGGAGCCCAGCTTCGGCACTGACCATACCCTCTGCCCTAAATCCGGAGCCTTAGCTCAGGTGATAACCCTGCCTCTATTTTGTTCTGGAGGCTCCCTGTTCAGCCCCAAACATGACATCTCCTACATTAGCACAGCGCTTTGAAACAGTCCAGGATAAAGAGGCAGGTGTGATTATAGGGCAGGTGCTGTTTCTAAATGAGCTTTAGATTTCTTTTCATCTGCTTTGCAAGGAATGAAATTAATATCGTTCTGCAGAAATCGGCAGAGAGCAACCGTGCTCTATCTGCCTGGAACAATCAAACCACGGTGGCCCATCACGGGCACAGCCATCTCTTATGAAAAACATAAAGATGTTTCTAGATGGGGCTTTTGACGCTGACGGAGCCAAAAATAGCCAGATAAGATGGAATGAATTTCACACCAAGAAGTTGGGAGTGCGATATTTTCACAGCTAACACAATTTTGCAGCTGCTCCTGCCTCGCACCACACAGTGACTTATGGAGGGACTTACGCTCATCAGTCCTGGTACCTGTCACATCTATCTGTGGCTGGAAGCGGGACAAATACCTGTGACAGGTTGATTTTGAATCGCTTCCATGGGCCAGGCTGGCACGCAGCCCCCAGGCTGATTTATAAAGTAGCTGGTAGCAGCTTGTTTATAACATAGTTTAAAACGATGTGTCACAAGCATCTTACACCAAGCAAGCATCCTCTGAAGCTCTGGGAAGCACTGTTTCACCCCCAGCGCTATATCTGGACAGGATCCTCTCTCATCCTGTGTTGTACCCACGACAGTCAGTGCTTCAGGGTTATTTCTCTTTAACCAGTGGAGTTGCTTTGCTCAAAGATGATTTCAGGAAGATTAAAGGAAGGGGCTGAGATTCAAGACACCTGATTCATTTCCCAGATCTCTCACATATTTGGACAGAGGGTTACATTTTGAATGGTGGCCTGTAATCCTGAGGGCCCACGTTCAGGTCTTCTGTGATGGAGGTGGCAAGTATCACGTAAGTACAAAGAAAGACTGATAGATAGGAAGGATCTGGTTTCCACAGTACTAAACCACTACAGAGCCTATTGACTCTGATTGCACAGCAATGTTTTACTCTATATACTTATGCATCCCACCAGAGATCTCTGTGCTTGAGGAACGATAAGGAATATATCCATGTATCTGTGACTCAAAGTCATGGGTTGAAAGGATGTTCAAAAGCCTTTGTGAAAAACTGATCTCAAAAAAAGAAAAAAGAAAAAACTCCACCCTCTTTCTATCAGTAAAAACAATTAATGAATGGTGGCACAAAACGAGGTTCAGTCGACGGTAAGTGTAAGTAGCACACAGGTGTTTTCAAACTCTGTTGTTTTTAGGAGGGGATTGTCCATGCACAAAGAGCAAACCTGTGTTTTCAGTTTAGATGATGCCTGTTTTAGGTTCAAGGCAAGCAAGCCAAATGGAGAGAAAAGAAATGTAAATTTTCCCTGGGAGAGCCTGGCGTATATTTTGCTTTTCTCAGCACATGCTGTGTTATGTTGTCTCAGAAAATGGCTGCCCCCTCTGAATGTTTTTGATGGACACCCATGGAGGAAGGACACCCAACTAATGCCAAGTTACAAACAGAGGTTTTACTTTGGCTTTCATCCTGCAGGTGTTTGTGGGGTGGCATGTTTTGCACTCCTCAAATAAATGTAAGCACAGATGCTCTTGGAGTGCAGGTGAGGCTAAAACAGGAGGCATATGGTGAAATTCTGCCCACTGGAGTCACAGGAAAACTTTACTGTTGCTAAAATTTCACTTTTTGGCTGTGTATAGACAAAATGATCGGTGTGTGTGCACGACACTTGAAAGCAGGTTAAATGCTTTTGCACCTCTTTAATGATGTTGGTGTTTGCACGTGTTGGCGGCTCAGTAATTCCAGCTGCTGTAGCAAATTCGGCGGTGTAATACGCCTTAAATGACCTGGGGTGCAGCAAACAAACTCCTCCGAGGAGTTTTAGTTTGCTGCCCTACAGCCGCGGAGCGAAGCACTGGGCTCTGTGCAGCTCTGCAGCAAGCCCGTGCAGGCAGCCTGGCAGCAGCCCGGGAAGGCAGGCTCCACCCGAGAAAAGCAGTGAGCCTGTTCTTTTTTTCCCCTGGAGCCTGCCTGCTTGCCTGAGCTGCGCAGGGGCCCGGTGTTTCTGTCTGTGGCTGTGGTGCCCCCTGGGACTGCCCGAGACGGGTGCCTGTGGGCATGTGCCACCTTAAGGGGTGGGGGGTGGGGAC